GAAGCCACCAGTGCTCATCCACTGAGAATGGACTTTACAGTGAAGGAGGAGACATCTTGTGTCCAGCAGCAAAACTTTAGAAATAAACAACATTTCTGGAATTTTTAATGAGGTAAAGGAGGAGATGACTTTTTAAATTGTAAATTATACTTTGTCATCAGACACACATTATTGTTGCAAGCAGACCATTTGTGTCTTAATATGTGGCTGGAGGGGATCTTAAAGGTAATACTAAGATACTAAGTACTATAAAAAAGAAAGAAAGAAGGGGTTTGAAGACTTGATGTTTACCTGTGTGTATTATAAAATGTGATAGGCATCGTATGAGCCCTAAACCAACTGCATCTCAACTATGTTGGATGCAAAAGAAAATAATAAAACAAAACAAAAGGAAAAATCCTCTTTTTTAATGTGATTAAACCTATTAGCTTGCTTAAATGTGCTTCTGTTGAAAACCATCATTCTAATGAGTCAGTGAGTCGGATCTCTTACAGTACATATTGTCCTCCCAGGTCTCCCTGTGGCCTATCAGAGAGCAGAGCCAATCTTAAGTGCACTAGGAGAGTGTGTGTGATGACGCAGGACGCCACAGCATCCGTGCCCCGGGGTGACATTGCATGAATGTAACATCAGCACAGATGATCCCCGGGGATTTGGAGTAAGAGTAAGTGCGTCTGTGTGTGTGTGAGTGTGTGGAGAAGTGCTGTACTATAGTAAATGGTGAGCGCACTCTCAGCTGAGTCAGTGCGGTTCTGAGGCGAGCAGTGTGATTGATAATTAGAATGGATTGCCATTTTGCTTTACCTCATTCCTTCAGCCTGCGTCTACACTTCTCACTGAGGATGTCTGAAAACGGCCGAACAAAATCGGACCCTTTCTTTGCTGTGCTCTATTGTGTTATGTGTCTGCAAGTGTTGCAGCGCTGCTTTCCTTTACGAAAGCATACAGTGCAGGCATTTCGCTCATATATGTGAGTGAAATGCAGCAAAGGGCCGCAGGCTGTGATTAGAACTCAGCCTACATGAGGGCACAGTAGTTCACCTGGTAGAGCGTGCGACCCATGTAGGTCATACGCTCTACCGAACGTTTCTCATTCTTAACCCCACCGTGGTTGTTTTTTCCAACTGGGCATGTCAAACAGCAGATTTACGCCTGCTGAACCAACCAGAGATGTAGGCCAATCATTCAGCCAAGCAATATTATTGCATACAGTATATATTATTACTCCTCCACAAATTGTTCCTGTTAGATCTGATCTAATCCTCTAAGAAACAATATTATCATTGTTAATTAACACACCAGGACAAGTGTTAATTCGATTAATCACCAAGCCCTTACTTGGGGGCAGCACAACCAGCTGTGAACACAGTATTAACATATTGTCACATTATAAAGTGAAACACGTTGATTGATGACTAAAAATCCACCTGACATTGCATTGTTACCATCACCACAATATAAACCAAAACAGCTGTAGCAGTACAAACAAACACTTGCCACCAGGCAAAAAACTAACATGATGTAGAGATAGTGTTGTTCTCATAAGGAATTATGTTAGACATCAACATGGGGGCTATTAGGAGGTCTCTGAGCTGGGTTTGGCTTGGTCTTACAGGCGGCTATATATACCCTGAAATGTGAGCAGATAAGAGACTGCTGATGTCTGTGAGGGCCACACTGACGCCTCTGCCCTCCCTTTCTGCTCGTTACAACTAGTTGCCAAGGTGTTTCGCACTGAATCTAGGCTTGACTACTTGGCTATTCTGACTAGCCATAGTTGGACCTTCTCCAGTCTTCCCTAGCTACTGGTTAGAAGCCATTCAACGCTTGTTTTCCCCTCAGCCAAGACTAGAGTGCAGCAGTACAATGCTGTATATAATGCAGTATTTACAGCCAGACACAAAGAAGAAAGGAATGAGAGGAATGCACAGTGCTGGCACAAGGATAATTAAGAGTGCAAAATAAAACCGCAAAATTAAAGTGCCAATAAAAACATTGTTCATTAAAATGCTATGAAAGAAGGGATTAAATATCCATGATATTTCTTGTCCTAGCCCTTAAAGCGGTGCCTTCCAACGCTTTGACTGTAACAGCTCCGACACCTTTCATTTTCCATCCTTAAACATACTTTATTAAAATTACATACGCTATTTACACCCACAAAACACTGTATTTAAAGGTTGCAAGTGAAGAAAAAAGATGAAAAAATAAGTTTTTTTTAATGCATTTTCTGCTACAAAGAAATTCCCTCCAGAACTTAGCCCTCATTACAATTTGTTACTACCCAACCAAGTTTCTACGATATGAAATCCTGCAGAGGAGCAGCCAATTAGCATTTATCATTACCACCATCTGTTGGTGACTCACAGGAGAGGCCATAAAAGCAGCAGTGACCTCAGAGAGGACTGAATCTGCAGGCTACAGTGATTGATGCTTCAGCCTCTGCAGCTGACTGGCATAATGCTTTATTCATTGAAACTATCATTTGGTCAATTAGATACCATTATTATTTGAAACACCTATCAATCTCTGCCATTCACACTGACAGATGCAAGATACACAGGAGTGGCATTAAAGCGACTAGGTTAAAGCATTCGTTCACACAACAATTTATTCACTAAGAGCCGATCACCAGCAGCACTATAGCTCAACCTGGGGGTCAATCATTTGGGATTTTAAAGCCTAAAAAAGTTATACTGTTAATGAAATGTAAAAAACACTTCCTCCTGCACACATTCTAGATATTCAAAACAATATTGTATTAAATGAATTACAATCTTGTTTCCGCCGTCAAGACGCAATGGAGGCCGCTCTTCTTCATGTCACAAATGACACTCTGATGCGAGTGCACTCTTTTTGACATTGAATTTTGACATTTTCAGGCTCAGATGGTGGGCTGGGATACCTGGAACCATATATGACTGGTTTAAACCTTATCTGTCAGACAAATGTTCCATGTCTCTATAAATTATCATGTTTTGTCAGCAGCCCTTGTAATATTCGGTATGCCACAGGGATCATTCTTTGGTCCTTTCCTGTTCTCTTGTCTCTCCATTATCGTAATGACTGTATTAAGCCAAAAACATTTGTACAACTTAACTGATAAAACAGAAATTCTGATACTGGATTTTTGAGGGAGATACTGAGCAATATTTGGTAATTAAATCCATTTCATTTGCTAATTGTGACCAAGATACATATAAAACAGGCTATTTTACAGTTGTAAAATCAACTTGTCACTGCTTTCTGGTGGACAAACTATGTAATGGTGACACTGTTTTTACTTGATACTACTTCTGTACAGCATTAGTTAATTATCAGCCGACATTACACCAAAAAAGATCTTGAGTTGATATTGACTGATATATCTGCTCCACCAGGTACTGTTATGCACATTATGTTTCCCCCATTGTAATGCATTGACTCTGCCTGCCTTAGAAAATATTCTCTATCTCACCTACAGTTGGTCCAGAACAATGCAGTTTTAAACAAAAACTAAACACAATTTCCATATAACACTAGTTTTATCTATAAATGCAGTGTATTGGCTCACTTTTAGGACTGATTTCATTTTTGACACTACATGGTCTGTATTTAGAGGAACTGTTGTGACCTGTGACCTCTAGAAATCATCAGAGCAGGGACTTCTGGCTGTTCCCACATAGAGGCTGAAAACTAAAGGTGCTTTTGCTGTTGTTGTTTCTTCATAGTCACAGAGAAGCCAAATCAGTGCACAGCTTTAAATAGCTCCTTAAAAACTATTTGCTTTCTCTTGACTTTTTAAATCCACTAGATAAACTGGACTTTGTTAGAAGTGTGCACATCTGAATACCCACTGTATCATCTAACAGATGCATTGCATGGCAGTTTCTGTGTCTAATGCAGTGGAAATGTGTCAATAATGCGTGTGTGCAAACTAAACTGTTGGATGTTTTTTTCCCACTTGTTTTTTTTAACGATACTGGCATCATCAAACCCTTTTAGCAGTGCAAGCTGCAATCTAAATGTCCTATTAGTGTCATAGTCTGAAGGTCTACATGGCAGCACTGCTGTAAACTGAGAAGAAACTGACGTAAAGCATCACAATTACAGTTTAGTCATTTCTGTGAGTCACTGGTAAGCTGATACATAATAAATAACTTATTTTTATAACTTTTCTGACTCTGAAAGGGACTAGTCAGTTGTGCTGTGATACATCTGAACCATGCAGTCGGTGATGTAAAACAGGAATGTACTAAGTATGTACTTAGGATACTTAAGACTGTCACTGTCAACTGGGACAGCTTCTGTTTGTGTGTGTGTGAAGTAGTTACCTGCCGTATTTGTAGCGGTGTGTGTCAGTCCCTGCAGACTGTGATGGCTCGGGGGCGGCTCATTCTAGTGTTGTTACCCCACAGTGTACACACACACACAGGCGTTGTGACACTGATCACTCCTGTAGAAACACACAGACCTGTTACATGACACATACCACTCAGCACACAACACTGAAAACTGTTCGTCTTTGTCTGTTGACTGGGGATTTTTTGGTGTAATCTGAAACAGGCAAATGCAAACAGTATCACTAGATCACGTGGTGTCAGACACCACTATCAAACTATGTAGTTGGACAGACGATAGCAAATGTTGCACATGAGAAATATCATATTGCCTTTAGGCCTGTAAATGGACAAAGTTAGCAGAAATCAACGTCTCCTCGGTCTGTTTTGGGCTGTCACTCGCAGCAGACATGTTCGGCATCAAGTGAGCACACAGGCCACCGGGCGACACATGCTCCGGATTTCATGTCCAACCATTAAAGATTGATGATGCATCCTTCAGCTCGTATTATCAAATCCGGAAAAGTTGCTCAGTTATAAAGCTCAGGTAAAGAGAAGGTTGATAGGTTGACTCCTCCTCGCGCAGCTTCATTACGTGGCTCTTCCAGCACTTGTTTAAAAGCTATATTTTGCCATCACAACCAGCTGCTGTACATATTTTCATTATCCGATGCAAAACTTCACACATATCAGCTGGTGATGTGCCCTACCCGGAGACTTGCTCACAAAATCCAGAACTTTCTGAAACATTATCTCCTGTCCTCTATCGCTGTCTCCCTGGGAAGACGTACCCTTACAGCGGAGCACACAGCCCACAAGCAGGTACCTAAAAGAAGAAAAGGGAGGAAGAGTGGCGGTTAAGTCGGTTTGTAAAAGGCTCACCCTTGTTGTTCTGAGCGGCCAGGCCAATAGACAGAAAGCAATGGGGTGCTACTTGGGAGGCTGTGGCCCCAGAGTGTGAGAGGATAGTATGAGCCCAGCGATCCAGAATGCCACAGATCAAGTTACAGAGCCGGTAAATATAGCAGACGCCTATGACCTCTACAGGTCACTCAACACTCAGTGGCATTCCAAGTTGCTCTTAAAGGACTAGCATTAAAGCTTTTTATAAGCCAAGCTGGGTAAGCATCGAGTCCACCGCACTGCTTTAGCCAGCAGATTGGCTGCTTTCACAGAAATTAAAATCTTAAGTGAGTGGCAAGCTTCGCTGCATGGATCATGATTCATCCTGAGTTCCTCCAGCAATAGTGCCACTGCATAGCAAATGCCGTAGATAATGTATGGTGTACACACTATCTCCAGACTCTCATTCAGTCATTTGTTGGCTGTCCGTTGGTCTGATATTTCACATATCAACACTAGTTTTAACACTGATGATACTAATTGCTCTTCAGCTTTATGTCATATCTTCCACATGTGATCAAAACGTCTTCAAAATTGAAGTCACTGTCTACCTTGTCCACCTTATTCTCCCCACACATGTATAGTTGCAATGCTGGTGCATGAACAACATACACTACCAGTAAATTACCAAATGAAATGGAGTATTTCCTAGCACAGGAAAACAGCTGACGTATGTGTGCAGGACAATGGAAAAAGACAGACGTAGTCCCGAGGTGGACGGTCTCTGTGAGGGGTATAGCGTTACATGGCATTAGGAGAAGACGGGACGACACACTGGCACAGGAGCCATAGTTGATGCACTGCAGTGTTCGTACACGGCTGTGAGCAGCACACTGATATGAGGCAGATATCAGTGCATTTGAATGGTTGCTCGCACAGTATGTGGATAACGCTGTTCCACACGTGATAGATAAGCAGCGCTGCTCGGTAATGGACGCGGGGCAGCTCTGACAGAGTAACGTTACTGTCCATGAAGGGGCGGAGAGGAGATGGAAACAGCGAAAACTTATCGCCCCTCCAGTCCCTTTGACTGGGGGACAGCGAAGTACAAAGTTAATACAACGCTCATTAACCAACCTACGTGGTTATTTTGTCTGTGTAACCACGGTGAACGTCTGTTAGTTAAATAACGTTAGCTATCTCGTTAGCTAACTACTGTATCGGTGCAGCCAGGACAGCAGCGGCGCTACGCCAATGTATTCAGTGAACTGTGGCACTGCTTATATTATATGCAAACCATATAACGTTACATTTCACGGGTTATAACATGGGTAGGACCTTTAAACTTGCGAGGACACCATTCCTCTCTTATTCCTCGCTATATCCGACAGAATAAGAAAGGCAAGAGCTGGACTTTTAGAGTTCCTTGAACACACCGCAGCTCGGTTCACGTAACGTTAACGTTACCTGTCTTGAAACTTGAAATGATACAGAAATACAGAGCTGTTTCGCAGTCATGTCTCACGTCTAAATGGCTCATTGTGACTTCTAAAATGTGTTAATTCCCGACAAGCAAGGCAACGCAGCATTGGCAGAGTTTGGTAGGAGTTTGGCTGGTGCTTCAGTGCATAGGAGAGCACAGTACCTAACGTTACAGGGTTATGGTGGTGTAAGGTAGCCAGTTAACTGCATTCACTCACCTCACAGTTGGAGATCATCCCGATCCAAACGGGCAGCGAAACGCCCCCAAAAAGTATCTCTGTGGCTGGGTTGTGCTGCTTTTTTAGACCATTACTTAAGTTGCTGTGAAGACTGGTCGATAATGTTGTATATACGACTCCGCCGCCATGGGCTTTAATGAAGACTACGCTGGTATTCAGCCATATCTTCTGGCCCCTTGCAGTTGTAGAGTTTAGCAACCAAGTAACGGTTCTTTTCGCTTTAACGGTGACGTCAGTCCGGTTACAGAGCTGGTCTCTGATTGGTTCATACCTCTCTGTGAGCGTCACCATCCAGAACGGCGAACCGCCTCCTACACCGTCGCCATGGAGATGAACGTAAACATCACAGATTTCTTTCAATGAAAAAATGCTACGTTCATGTGTATGGGAAAGAAGGATACTCGTTTCCAATAAGGGGTTATTTACAGCTTAGCTTTGTGGTAAATACTACTAAAATATAATGCTTACTACACCCAAGAAGTGCACACGTTTTAAATGAGAAGCCTAGAGGAGAACTCAAATGTATGTACAGTATTTATTTAACCATAAGCTTTAACCAAAAATGGTTATATTGGTATCTGCTGTGTAAAAAGACGGATGACATTGTGATCATTTTACCTATTTTTTTAGTAGTAATATAGGAACGATGTTATAACTAATGGGATTAAGTAATCAAATAAGAATAAGTAGTGAATATGGAATAAGTACCTCATCTACTAAAGAGATGACTGTTCATCAGAGTACTGTTACATGTTTTACATCTGCTATATTGCTGCTAAAATCTTATACCTAAACCCATTCTTAGAAGACATTATTTTGTGACGTCTCTCATAAGTCATGGACTAGTAAATGAAAATGGAGCTAAATAAATAAATTAAACATTTTATATTGTATTGAATTCATATGAATATTATTCAACATGACTTTTAATTGTACAATACTCATATATACTCATAGTATAACATAGGCCTACATTTCACTGAACTACTGTTTGGTTGGGTCGAATATTGAACCAGCTCTCCTTATAGATCATGTCTGAGATTGTTTAAGTATTACAAGTTCCAGCACTCAAGTAGTTGTTCACGCTGGAGTGTGTGAAGGGCTGCATTAAAGTGAATGACTCATAAAATCATACTGCAGCATAACCATCTGTAACATAAAACACATCCGGATCCCGACATGCCTTAAAAGCTGCTGTTGTGAATAAAACAAAGTGTCACACACTGAAGAGGGAGACTGCCATTTATTACCATTCAGTGACGCATCTCTCTCTACATATACTAATACAAGAAAGATGACTCATTCTGTTCCATTTAGTACTTCATATAGGTTCTTACAAAACAAATTATTATGCTTAAATTGCCACAGATTATGAACAGTCCCGTGTTACATATACTTGAGTGAACTGATTAGCTTTAATACTGGTGTGTATAAGTCTAAGCGGGGGTGAAACCTGCACATTTAGCCCAACCAAAATCTATAACACTATAATCAAAGACAAATATAGCTTTCTGAGATCCACGTGAGCTCTGGTGCACCACTCTTGGAGGCAGATGATCACTCAAGGTGTGTATTTACTGATATAGCTGGAGTAGCAAGTATCTATTTAGGTTTCCATTCAAACAGGATGTGCTGCACTGGAGCTGCCAGATGTCTAGCATTATGTGTTAAGCAAGCAAAGGAAATATGGAGCTTTTAAATGTACAGTATGAATTATCTCCATTTCAGCAGTCAAGCACTAATCTAACTGAGGGTTGTGTTTTTTTTTTTACTGGTCTGATGTCAGTTTATCACGTTTCTGAGAGGCTGTGCAGTATTTTTCTTCAACTTTCCTCATTTGCTCATTTGCTTCTTACAATCTGAACTGACTGCACAGGTTTTAAGTAATAGACAGGGTGTTAATGGATTATAGTTTATTACATTTAAAAAGGGAAAATCCACCCTCAGTTACTCTTCAGGAGGTATTTTCATTACTCCAATTAATGAATTAATGATCCCCCAAGGACTCCTTTGAAGCAACAGTTTGATATTTTAAAAAATGTATTCACTGTCTATTCACTTTAGAGGTGCTGGTAGACAGATTTTGTTACCTTTGGACCGAGCCAGGCTAGCTGTTTCCCTCTGTTTCCAGTCTTTATGCTAAGAAAGCATATAAACCTATTTCCCAAATTGTGGTAGTATGGTATTCATCTCTGGATTATAAATGAAAACAGTGAAAGCTATTGGACTGATAGTGATGGTAGAAGCAAAACGAGAGTTTAACAACACTTTTTACTCAAACTACTGTAATGCATTCTGGTGTATTGAGGCTGCTGCTGGTGGAATTACTATATTTGTCTTATGATGAATGTCCCTGTACAACTGTTGAATGATAAATAAAATGTGACTCTAGAAGGACTCACAGTATGATTCTGTGAGAGTAATACCAAAATCTGAGGTTTACTGTTGATGGTCCACTCAGTAAGAGTAATGTAACAATTACAGCACACAACAGAATGACCAAATAACTACACACAGTGCACTGCCAAAGTGTGTTAAAGGATGTGAGGATGGAATTTTCCTTAAAAAAGGTTGTATCAGCTTGTTACTATCAGTTTTACATAAACGCATTATTTTCTCCCAAACATTTTTTTTTTTACTATTTTACTAAGTTTTTGTATTTATTTGTTCTGTCAGAGTTCTATTCACTGGTTTGAATGGGTTGGTGTCAGCTGGAAAAAGTTTATGTCACAAAATTTACCAAAATGTGAGCCACTGTCAGTCAAATCTGATCAAACCACACCCACACATTCTTGATGAAGCAGATTAGCTGAATTCTTGTTGAACTCTTCATAAATAATAAGTATTTTTTCCCTAACTTTGATTGTTGCTTTATTAGTCATGAATCTTGAATGAATGTTACAGAAAAAACTAAAATCAAGTTTTCAGGGGCTTTAAGGGTTGTAAAATGCCTTAGCCAATATCTTCGGCTTGTAGCAGGTTGGACAGTAATCAGTAGACACAATAAATAACATGATAACATATTCTTAAAAAAAAAATCTGGATGAAATCAACAAGTAAACAATAAATTTACATCAAACTTCAAATGTTTTTCTTGGGCTTAATGTAAAACAAAGCTCCATCAAGTTCATTATTTCATAAATTTAAGCAGGCATTGTGACCACTTTCCTCGCAAACACATAAAGTCAAAAAATAACATGCATACCAAAAAGAATCACCCACCCTGCAAACAATTACATACCACATGTTCGCGCTTCAAACAAATCTCACACTGATTAGCACAGACACTATAATTCAATACTTAAGTCGGTGCCAGCACTGCACTGCTGACTCTCTCCGTGCTGGTTTCTATGGCTGTGGTTCATGCTATGCTAACATTTATTCAGCACTACTGTGATAAAATGGGGAAGCGAGTCCCAGTGTTTTAACTCTTTTCATCTAACCTGCTGTGTGTCATTGCTACACCATCATACTTAAGTCCCTAGTCTTATTATCTCACACTTTCAAATATTCAAGTATAGCAGTTGCGTTATAAAACTGGTAAATTATAATAATAAGGAAGGAAATGTTGTGGCATTTACATACTTGAGATATCGATACTTTGGGAGGTTAAAACACTGTTAAAAGAGGCCAAAGCACACTGAGCTGAGTTTTCTAACAGCAGATGAACTGAGACACATATTTGTTTCCAAACAGCCACTACATGTGAATGCTTGACCAATCAGTCCATAGCCATAACACTGCACACTCTCAGGAATCCCCTACTCTGCTAAGTTGCTTGCTATAGGAAAAATCAATAGCACCAAACATCAAACATCAATGCTCCTCTTATACAAGGTGGAGGCTGTATATTAAAATCAATACATACGGTACATATTCCACATTATAATAATGATACCCTAATGAGCTATCTTTGGTGGAAATATTTCTGTGCAGGGTGGAGCGAAATGTAGAATACGCTAATGTGGAGCAGATGAAACACGGATAAAAGAAAAAAATACTTTTAGAAATACTTCACTGAATAATTGCCAGTTTAAAGCGGAATACACATGCACTAAACCGAGATTTGTGTCCAAGGAAAACTACCAATTATATGAGTATAGTATGCATTGATAAAGCATTTAAAGGTCCATAAAACAAGATCATATGCAATTAATTACAGAAATTTTGCAATGATATAACTTACATGAGAAAAAATGGAATGCTAACCTCTTAAAAACATTTTAAAAGATTCTGAAATAGATAACAATGACAAACTCACAACCATATTTTGCTCCCTAGAAAGTGCACAAATAAATAAAAAGGATCTGGATTAGCAGGTATAGCTAAATGATGGATGGATGGATGCATGTAATAATCCTACACTTACATGATGTTGGAATAGATAAAATGTGCCTTCATACTGCTCCTACGCAGAATGTGCACTGAGAGATTGTCTTTTACCATAGTGTGTGTGTCACTTCACACCTCACAAAAAAACCCTCATCTAGTGGTTACTGTGGTGGCAAAGCAAATTTGTTTATGAAATACACAGTGTAGCCTGTAGGGGGCAGCACATACGACACAACAGCTGCTTTGTGGTAACCTGTGTGGGTATTTGTGACTGTATACATGTGTGCATACAGTATGTGTTTTGTGATAATAAACACAATAACATCATATCTTGGTCAGTAATAAGGAACCATCCATCCATCCATCCATTTTCTGCTGCTTATCCGGGGTCAGGTCATTGTGGCAGCATGCTAAGCAAGGTAATCCAGATGTTCTCCCCAGCAACATTTTCCAGCCCCTCCTGTGGGATCCCGAGGCATTCCCAAGCCAGATGAGATGTAAAATCTCTCTAGCATGTTCTGAGTCTACCCCGGGTCTCCTAACAGTTGGACGTGCCCAGAAGACCTCCAAAAGAAGGCGCCTAGGAGGCATCCTGATCAGATGCCTGTACTACCTCAACTGGCTCCTTTTAATGTGAAGGAGGAGCAGCTCTACTCCGAGTTTCCCCCGGATGTCTGAGCTCCTTCTCTAAGGCTGAGCCCAACCACCCCATGGAGGAAAATCTTTTTGGCCACTTGTATCTGCCATCTCATTCTTTCGGTCACCACCCAAAGTTCATGACTATAGGAGAGGGTTGGAACATAGATGGACTGGTAACTTGAAAGCTTTGGCTCCTGGCTCAGCTCCCTCTTCACCACAACGGTCCAGTACAATGGCTGCATTACTGCAGACGCAAAACCAATCCGCCTATTTTTTATTGTTTTGCCCTCACTCTTGAACAAGACCCAGAGACACTTGAACTCCTTCCCCTTTTCCAACAACTCGCTAAAGACCCACAGGCAGAAATCCACTCACCTCTGGCAGAGAACCAATGGCCTCAGAGGTTCTGAAACTTTTCTGACCACACCATCTTGGTGCATGTTAAAGGTCATGATCTGATGAAGCCAACAGAACCACATCATCTGCAAAAAGCAGAGAAGCAATCCTGAGGTCCCCAAACCCCCAGCTGCACCTTTAGATCCTATCCACAAACATAACTGTGACAAGGGACAACCCTGACGAAGCCCGACACCTACTGAAAATATGTGGGACTTCCTGACTAAACTATAGACACAGCTATCACTCTGGTTATACAAGGACCAGATGCCTGGTGCAAGCAAGTCCACAAAACACATGTAGAAAACACATAACAGTAAGGAAATATCAATACACTGTTAGATATCATCAAGTTTGCACTCTTGAAGCCATTTTGTCATGAAGTGGTGTTATTTTATTTTAATTTTTTACAGCCAATTCTCCTTGAAAGTGACAGTTTTACCACTTTAAAGTGGGGTTTGCTGAAGTGGGGTTGTATGAGGTATTTGTTTACTTATCCATAGTCAGTGTATTACTTACAGTAGGTGGCTATTTTCACCACTTTACCTTGCTGCCAGAGTCCAACGGGAAACTGAACCTTATTATACTGCTAACAGACTCTTGACAAAAGACCAACAACTCCCATGTAGAGTGAGGTAAAATTACAGCTGTTCTCAAAGGAGTCTGGTGGCTCTGAAAACAGCACAGATGGATATAAAAGCTTCAGTTTCCCGTCAGAAAGGGCTGCGTGGCAGCAAGGTAAAGTGGTGAATGTACATCTTTATAGGTACGCCTTTTTTAGGTGGCTAAAATGTCTTTTTCTGCTGCCCCTGTCCACAGTAGTGCACTGTTCTGCTTCCATGTCGGTTCTCCTGTAAGTACCTCATACAACCCCACTTAAAAAAAATAGCTTTAAACACTTTAATCTGCCTCACCTATTGCCTGCCTGCCTTTCACTTTAAATGTGTCAAAAATGTGTTTTTCTTATTGTTACTTAACTTTAACGTTAGATCTTCACTGTGCAGTTTTACACAAGAAAAGTTTTCAAATTCATCTGCTGATGGAAGAAAGTTTCTCTGTCATCACCATAAACCCCAGTTTAATACATGTACAAACATCATGAAAACTAGTTTGGAAGCCAATCCTGATGCAGTACTTAACTGAAAATGTGAAGCATGCAGGGCATGTACACTACAACTTTGTAAGAAGATCTCATATCCAGCAGTTTAACTTTTGTAATTAATTACAAAATTTGCATATTTATCGATTTGGAATTTTTGACTGAGGGAGAGGGAGTAAATTGATCTATAACTTACTAACCTGTAGGGGTGGGCATGATTGTTCGTTTAGATGTCAGTATTCGTTCAACGTATCGAGTACTCTCATTAAGATATATTTGCATCTACAGCCGCAGATAATGTTCAAAGCTCATCTCAATCACTCATCTAACATTAAAGGCAGAATGAACAAAATTGATGATATGAACGTGCGGTGCAACCAGTTCGATGATTAAACATTTGCGGATTAAGCATAAGGAGAAATCAGCGGAGACAAATAACAGGCAACATTTCATCCCCCCATTTGCTAACGTTAGCAGTGTTAGCTAGGGCCGTTGTGGTGCTACTAGGACAGAGAAGTTTGGCCAGGTCATAATAAAAATGGTGACACACGGTCCTGTTAATCTTTGTGGAAGGAGTAGGAGATTTTTTGAGAGTAGTTGACAACCTTAATAATTCAATGTGAGCACTCAAATATGGAAATGACTTAAAAGGCCCATCCCTGCTAACTTGTTTGTCAAAACTCCATATCAAACTCAAATTATTATTTAAAGCAGAATATATTTTTACATTGTAAAATATCTGGTGGGACCTTTCAGGATTTCAAATCTGCATTTCCTATGATACATTTCACACATTGTTGATTGTCATTACGGCTCTAGAAAGAATCCCTTGCTTTTTGATTCTGATGGTATTTTGTCAAACCGTCTGAATATAATGTAGCATCTTCTACCTTTGGCAAAGAAATATGAAAAACAAACACCACCAAACAACACAATGGACCAAAGAAATGCTACTTTCATCACAAATTACTGCATTTACCAGTGTTTTGGGCATGATTGATTTTTCCTTTAGCAACAGCTCTTCCTGATACTGTGGCCACTTTAAAAGTGCAGATGAGTGCAGCCCTGTTTCTCCACTCTGTATCACTGCCTCACTACTAATCAGCGTAGCATTTGTGACTAAGTGGGCACGTCAGTGGTGTTGGATACCTGCCTATGCAGGTGCTATGGTACATGCAGCGTACTAAGAGATAGAGCTGCTTTGCTGGTACAGCAGTGCCCTCCCCTCTGCTTAAGCTGCTAGCTGACTGCGAGTTGCTCTCTCAGCCTGTTCTCCAGTGTGACAGATTTGTCCACTAACTCCAGTGGATGCCCTCAAATAAAGCTGAAATAAATAAAGATAATATTCTTTCCAGACTGGCTGCATTTCCAGCCAGAGCCTCCCAGCAGCCCACTGTAGTCCACTGTGCAGTCTTCATGATGGTGTACACATCATTTTCTTGTTTTGCTCCCATTCCAAGTGGGCTGCTGATGCTGTTCCATAGGCATTTCCCAGTTATTTTGTGATGTCAGTTAACCAATCAACAAATAATCCAATTAATCAATCAATCAGTGAGTCACTCCAATCAGCCAGTTTGATACCAGCTGTTCACTTGGTCTTGGGAACCACCAGTATTTCATCACCGTCTTGGATGCTATAGGAGTGGAGAGCCCGGGTGTTGTACCTCATTTCCTCCGGACCGAAGGCGCTGCACTTGTCGATGTAATAGAGCCTCATGCTGTTGGTGGACAGCTGGACCACTGTTGTCAGCTGCTTCTTCAGCTCAGCTACTGTCTGGTCCAAACGGATGTTCAGCTGACACAAAGACAAACAGTTTCTACATTTTACCATTAAACTGATACCCATCTCATTCAAAACATAATTACAAAAGTACAATAAGCCAAAGTCGGGAAGTTTTAAATTCTGCACATGGTGGCTTTAAAACAAATGGCTGATAGCTATGTTTATACAGGCAAACATAAGCCTGGCCATGGGTTTAAAGGTTATATATACAATATCTAGAATTAACTATTTGCTATGTAAATATATATAGTGGAGTTCATGTGTCCTGAGCAGAGAATTACATTCCTCTCCTTGTTTTGCTCCTAGAACATTGTTCACTTCTCTGATATGGCCATGTGTGCATGTGAGTCTCTCCATATGCAACTGTTGACTTTGAGGAAAGCAACTAAAATGGCTGTTTTTCTCTTTCTCTGTGAACTAAGGATTTGTTTCAACCAAACCAGAGCTGGTGATTGTTGGAACAGTGGAAAGACAGCTTTGGTGAGTTTTATTTTGACTCAAACCACTTTGAATAAAGTTATGATGTTATGATGATGTGTGAGGTAAAATTACTGTTTATTTCCATTAAATTTGGTGGTGTGCGATAGTGATATTACAGCTGTTTCTGCTTAAACAAAAGGTTTGCCTCTGTAGGGATCCTTTCCATAATATTGTCAGAGGCTTAGAATAACAATCTGAGCATGTCAGTGGCAAAAACAAGCACTTTTAGTGCACGTACTTTGACATAAGGATTAAGTTGCGGCCATAGCAGCCCATTTTGCAAATATTTCCGCATCTAACTGATTTAAGGGTTTTATTTAAAAGATAGTTTTAGTGAGTTTTATTTTGTTTCTGTACAGTTTTAAGTGTGTTTTACAATTATCTGCATGGTAAAATTACTGGTTCTGTCAATGGAGTCTGGTGTGCTGCAGCAACCATTTGTTATGGTGTGAGATGCTGTGTTCTGGTGCAACATGTAGTAGCAATGAATTTCGTAAGTGAACTTGTTCATCAAAATGTTCATAGCTTGTTACTAAAAATTAATGTTTACACTGTGGAATGTCCAAAAGGTGTACACACAAACACTGTAAAACCATGACAATAAGAACCATGCTATAAAAAATGAAGCTCTCCTGTAACTCATTAACAGTACAGCTCTCTGATACTACTACTACTCTGGTACTAAACGTCTAGTATTTCTTAAAATGGCACACAGGTCCTACTGGGGAAATGCACTACCACTTTTACTGACTGGTCGTAATTAGGAAGTTTTTCTGTGGCGTTGTGTTTTCCTTGGTGGTGGTGTCAGAGAGGAGGATGTTGCACAAAATGCATCATGGGCAGTGACTCTCACCCTCTCCATGCTGAATCATGATTTACCATATACACTTACCGGTATTTAAAGGACCAGTGTGTAGGATTTAGTAGCATCTAGCTAGTGTAGTTGCAGATTGCAGCCAACTGAATACCACTCGCCCTTCAAAGTGCAAAGGAGAAACTGTGGTAGCTGTGAAACTTGTGATAAACGCTAAGGGCCCTGTCTAGAGCCACTGTTTGGTTTGTCTGTTCTGTGCTACTATAGAAACATGCTTGTTCAACATGGCGGACTCCATAGAAGAGACCTTGCTGTAGATACAAACAGGTCATTCTAAGGTAAGAGAAACACAATGATTCTAATATTCAGGTGTTTATACACTAATAAAAACATACCAATGAATATTATATTACATTTCTGCCAAAAGATCCTCTTAAATGTTACACACTGGATGTTTAAGATTTGATACTACATACATTATCATATGCCACTTCCCATACATATCTATCTGTAACTCACCAAGAAGCAACTTGTGCAACTTATGATCCTCACCATTAGTAGATACACTAGACAGCAACCTTCATAGCAATTATTGTCTCAGCGTTAGTCATTAAAGAGGGGTTAATAACATCATGTTGATTCCCATGACATGTTTTATCAATTAGTCATTTACAATGGAAGGTCTCATGGAGGTTGCAGTAGTCATTGTGAGCCACCAACATAGGAAACTGATTATTTATACACCTCTATTTATTTTATTACACTGTCATGTCTCCAAGCAAAGTGGACAACGAAAAAGGGTTCATATGACACATCTATGTCATTTCTATGGTTTGATCATGCCACAATGGCATAATGGATTAGATTTTTTTTTACAGTACGTGAGAATACATTTGATGAATGCACTTTATCTGTTGGTGCAACCATGAGAAACTGAGAGCTAGATTGGTGCTTATACCAATATTGAAGATACCCTTGTGCACCAATTAGTGAAGGACACAGTACTGACGCAGGACAATAATTACATTTACTTAAGACACACTCAACAGGATTGGCACAGGAGTGACAAAAGGGAGTACGGTCACATGATATCACTTGAAGCCCTGCCTCTCAAGTTATTCTACATTTGTGAACTACTCAGAACAATACCCCATTACATGCTTAACGCACCTGTTCCACTTTTTCCTCGCAGTGAACCTCCACCTGGGCACGACAGCGAGGTCGAAGGTCAATCTCAGCGAGTGGTTCCAACTTCCCATACTTGGTTACCAAGGAATGGTATCTGTGGAGGAAAAGAGCGGGTTGTGCCATTGGTCGTAGCAGCACACACACACACACAATAAAAAACATTGCTAGTGAGTTCAGAGTGTTGCAGTGTACCTATAAGGCAGCTCCTCCTCAGGGTAGTCTAAGTAGTAACGGATGAAGAACCTCTCTGCATCCTCTCTCTCACTATCAGTCACAACGCTGCCATTTAGCAGTGATATTGAAGGGAGTCTGAGGGATAGCACATAAGTACTGTATTATACAGTTGCAAATGTACCAGATTATTGGCTGGTGTTGGGTCCTCCTTAGTGTGTAGGAGAAAACAAAACAACCTTTCTGTCTACTGTAAAGGAGGTCCATTCTCACTGGTGTCATTGCTGGGACTCACTGTGCTATCATGAGGCTGCGTCGCTCAGCGTTGGTGTAGGTCTGCAGTAAGGGAATGCCCTGCAGCCGCACTTCCTCCAGCTTCGGGAAGAAGTTCAGCTTCTCAATGTCGTCCCATCGGTTGAGACCTGACAACACACACACAAACACACACAAAGTCTGTTTCATACATCTAGGACAAAAAAACAGCAGTGGTATGCTCTATGTATGCTAATTCACTTTTGGCATTAGAAATGCAAATAAATACGTACATACTTTTGGTTTGCAAAGACCAAATGTGTTTTTAACCAGCGGCACAACAGTAGTAGCCAACAGACACAATGGTTTTTACACAAACAATAAAAAGTAGAATTATTATATATACATTAGCTAAGTTTACTAGAAGGCTGAAATATTTAAGAACTTGTTATAGACAGCATTTCATAGTAACTCACAAAATTGCCTAATTATTTAAGAGAGTCTAGGGACTTTCTCAACAGGCGACAAAGTAGCCTATATTAGTTACTGTCCACTGTATATGTGAAATTGTACATTTATTTTTGGTGAAATCAGTTGAAGCAGTGTGTTTAAACACCTAGCTGCTAAACATTGGCTGGTAAGAGCAGTAGTAGTAGAGTAGCTGACAGGCAGGTATAGTGATCTGACAGTGTACAAGAAAACACAAATAATACACATTTTTATTAAGTTTCTCCTTTCTCATCAACTAACAAAATGTACCCTACAGAAGCCTAAATCCAGTTATATGATTATTGGATTTATAGTTGTTGTTGCTGGACTTAAAGCATAACATGTCAGCATACTCAGTCAAAGGCCAAGAGCTAGCCTGAGCTTCACAGCCTAAACCGTCCCAAATCCAAACCCCTAAAACTTAAGACATTTGGCAGCCACATACAGTACTGTATGTACTAGACTGATATCACATTATGTCCTTTGGTACTGATACACACAAGTTTCCTCACACTCAGCCACAATTGAGCTGATTCAGCTGCCTACGCTGGCCATGAAATCAAAATAACACAAATTTTAGATGATTAGGGTTTAACCTGACAAAGCTAGACACTAGTTCCTGTCCTTCAAAAAAGGGTTACAAAAAAGTGAAAAGTGTTCCTCTACTAAAAGAATAAGCAATAAAAGTCTGGTGATAGTCTATATTTTACTTATTGTCAGGAATTGCCAAGACAAGATGAAAACCAACAATGAATGTAACCAAAGCCTGATATATCTTATTCCTCTGTGCCACAGAGCTCCAGTGTTGTCCAAAAACTATTAAAAACACACCAGTGAGTCACACTGTTGCGCTGGGTGACAGGTTCCTTCATTACCATGAACACACACACTGTTGTTTAGTTTGACTCAGTCCCACATACATACACATCCTGCTGCCCCTAATACTCACTAGAGCACCAAATGTGGATTAATCCGCTGCTGAAAATAGTCCCCAACAAATGCACTATTTAATCCTGTTTAAGTAACTTTTTTAATTCAATTCAATTTCAATATTTGAGAGTGCAAATTCATAACAAAAAGTTTTTTTTCCTCAATAGAAGCAGGACTGACAGTATGGAGGCGTGAAGCTTGCGCATGGTTGCAGCTCTACTTTTATTTCTGCTTTAGAAATCGAATTAAAGTACAGTACATCTTTTTTGGTTGTTTTTGCTGATCTTGAAGGGAAAAAGGACGGGAATGGCTGAAGGTTGAGAACTCAATGCAACTGGCTCTCTCTTAATAAACATAATGGTTAATATGAGGACTAGTTCATAACATAAGCGCTGATCTTGATTTTCCTTTTACAGTCATTAAGGAGGTATAAATGGTCACAATGACCTGACCAAGCCACCCCAGACCAGCAGGTTCCATATTCTTGGAATTTTAATGAATACAACCCAAGTTTTTATATCATTCATATGAATCCAGTCGGCACTCTTCTTCACTATTAACACCCTGTGGTAGTCACTCTGTGTTAACTTTGTGTATGTTAAAATATGAGTTACTCATTTAAAATGCTCATGAAACAAACCACATCAGTCCAATTTAAACATTTTCAGGATGAACAGACTTTTTTGCAACTTTACAGACTGCAAGCTGCACAGTTTATGAGACAGCACAGCTTTATATTTTGATGAAAATGAACTGAAATTCAGAGTCATTAGTACAGAATGATGGGCTGTTCAAATCACATACTGGTTATGATTCTTTAGGCCTGGGGGCTTAAATTAAAGCCCTCAGTTTACACTGGTAAAATCACACTCAAAAGCCTCCATGCACAACCGGCCATATTTCATCACTGATCTCGTCTGTCTTCTTCCATCGTCTGTACACATATTCAATATCTCCCCCGAGGATAAACCAACTGCTAGTTTTTAAAAAAAAACAGAACAATGTTTTTGAAGGCACTTTCATACAAGGTAAGTGGAGTCATCGATGCAGAGTAAGGATGGGATGTTGGTTGCTGTACTCATGTTGGTTGCCATGACATTATGTTAGCATCCTAACCGACTGAACTTTTGAGAACTTAAAGGATTTCTTGTCTTGTAGTTTAATGTGCCTGACACTACAACGCGACCTGAAGCTCAGTGTTTTTATTTTTTATGACTGACCTTAATTGTAATTTTACCCATATATTCAATTGTACTGGGTTTTCAAAATCCTCTTATAAACTATCCAATCTAATCCTTAGGTTTCAAGCTTGCATCTAAACTTACTGACTTCTGCTGTCCAGCTATTAAATTAATTAAAATAAATTAAATCAAATTATATCAATCTTGTAGTTAAGCAGACGGTCTATTACTGGTTTCTACCAAAGGGTTCAAGATCAGTAATTCAGCAATGGTTGACAATGTGGTGATGGTTAAAATTACAGATGTTTTTTGCAGATCAAGGCAGAACATTTGCCTTAGGAAGAAAAAGTTCCTTGCATACAAAATATTCCAACAGTTGCACTAGCAGGGATGCTGGACGTTAAGGGTAGACTGTGTCCGGTCAGGTCAGCATATGGTTCTTCCAAACACAATTAAGGGTCCTGTACCGTTTACTTTGGGCAGTCTAATAGCCAATGCACCAGACTGTACAGGACACCTCCCTTATTCTGTAGGGTTGTCTAAGCCACACATGTCCGGTCACCAGCTGTAAGGTAGTCCTGTCTTGTGGCCGTCTTGCGAGTATACTGATACGTACATTAACCAAACCTGGAGAGACCCAGATTAGCTGCATACTGTCATTTATCGTTTTTTTTCCTTACCTTTTCTCCTTTCCCCCTCCTCCTTGTTTCGCCTGTGTTTCCATAACTCGATTAGTCTGAAGCTCATCACAACTGTTGCGGATTAAAGCTAACAAAATAAAAGTTTACTGGTTGTACTAACAAGATCGAACTTCTATATTTTGCCCTTTTTGATTCTGCCTAAATAAAACATCGCCGATAAAATTCCCCTAGTAGGACTAGCGCTGGTGAAGATTTCACGGTTACAGCTGGAAGACAATCCATCGCACAATTCGAACGTCGGATGCGGATAAGGGTACACATGCCTCTAGTAAACCAATACCTCCGTCTGTGCATTCAAATTTTGTTTAGGTTGTATAAGTCTAGTGTTTCTGTCAGAACTTCTGTGCCAAAGTTTTTATCTCTCTCTTTTGCCTTGACCCCATCCTCCTAGTAAAAAATAATGTCCTTGGTTGATATAATTAAGAGTCGAAAAGATAAAACTTTGTCACACGATGTTCTCAGCCTCCTATTCATGGTTCAGGCCTATTGCATATGCATGCAGACAATTTTATAGGATTCCAGATGACTTTTGTGCATTCCGGTGTGAGTTGAGTTGTATAATAGATACATCTCAGTGACTGCAGGTAGAATCTCCATCAAGCATTAAAACTAGGTTAACTGCGCTCGAATGATTCCACTCGCTCTACTTGCATTATGTTTGCACGGAACTCTCCTTGAAGTTTTTTTCTGATAATTCAGAGGTATCAGTTTAAGTTGCTTATCCTAAATTGTATGACTCACTATCAGTGTACTCTCAGCGAGGGCAAGAGGGAAGAAGGAGTAGTGTAAAGAATAGCAGAACATAGTTTGCAGTTTTCTCAGTTTTGATTCAGTCTGAGACACAAAGACAGACAAATGAAAAGCGACCTGGTCATTGGAAGAATAGACAATAGCTGACTCGATGTATTTTATGTGGTCTGTTACAGTCTGTGCATTGGCTATTATGAGCTCGCCATACAAGAGCCGAGGGTGTGAAACGGGAATACAGGAACCCTAATGTTAGTTAAACGGCAACCACTGTAGCTGACGTCTGTATCCGGACACAGTCTACTTAAGCGTCAGGCTCCCTGCTAGTGCAACTGTTGGATAGACCAATATTTTTGTGATGCAAGGATACTTTTTCTTCTAGGCAAATTTCTGCCTTTTGATCTGCAAAAAACATCCTGTTAATTTTACATCTGGTCTTATGCATGTCAACAGTCTGCATATTTTGTTTCTGTATTTCTGACATCCTCCTTCATATGGTAGGCAAAGAAACACCAGTAACTAGACTCTCTGCTAAATATAACTGCAAGTTCAATTCACTGTAATATCCTCCCCTTGATTAAATTAAATGTATTATAAAAATTACAATATCTTCCAACTGATCATATCTGAGAACAGCGTAAAAAAAGTACAGGTAAGTTTAGATGCAAGCTTTGAAACCAAGGATAGATTGAGATAGTTGATTAGAGGATTTTTAAAACCCAAGTTCAATGGGAGTTAAGAAGAAATCTTATGGTATATGATACAAGATTAAGGTCAAGTCATTAAAAACCACTAAAAACGCGTGGGGCTTCTCTCAGTGTTTTCGCGTGTGTAGTTGTCAGGCATTTAAACTTCAAGACACGGAAAGTATTGATAGTTCTCAGTTGTTCTAGTGTCTGATAGGGTATGCTAACATTAATGTCATGGATTAACCACTGCAGTAAGTGAATCGCCACTAGACATTCCTAGCTACTTTTACTCTCTCTGATGCACTCGATGAATCAACCCTGTTAAAATTCTAGATTGTACTGAAAATAGCTTTGACTGTGCGCAAACATGTTCTGTTTCCTTTTTTTACAGGAAATAGCAGTGGTT